TTCGCGGCTGAGCAGGCAGGAGATCTCGACCACCACCGGGTGATGATGCTTTCAGCGCCGCCCCTCGCAGTCGCATGCCGGGCATGCCGACACAAAGGTTGGTTCCCCCCGATTGCCTCCCCTGCATATGCCCATTCCCTCATTTGCAACTCTCCTCCCCGAAGATGCTTGCGGCCGTCGCCACTCGTTCCCAGAGGCCCGCGCGCGCCATTCGGAGGGCCCTGGCGACCCTGCCCTCACGGCGACGCCTATCGACAGGCGCGTGCACGGCCCCGCCCGACTGGGGGCCGTCCCCGGGGACATTGCTGCCACTGGCCATCTACGTCCACTGGTGCGTCGTGGTCCCTGGCTTGCCGGATGCCCGGTCTTGTTTGGGTGGACTCATGTTCTGGCACGTCTGTCTGCCTCTCTCCTCCTCTCTCTTCTTGTCTCACCCCATGAAACAGGCCCTTTTGTGCGCATCTTTGTCCCTGTTGCAATTTCAACAAGTATAAGCCCCCAGCAGCCGACTTGGCGCCTGGCCCCACCGGCCAGAGTTTCACCGACTCGCTCGGCGCCGCGGTGTTGGCCGAACTGAGGCGCGGCATCCAGCGGGTGACCCCGGTGCCGGGTCAGTCAGCCGCCCGGCCAACACACCTACCCACAAGCCTCTACTTCGGCGGCGGCACGCCTTCTTTGATGCCGGTGCGTGACTTCCCCCGCATGTGCCTGCCTCCATTTGCTCCCATCCGGATCCCCCCCCCCTCTCTCTCTCTTACAGGGTACCCCTTTCTGATGGGTTTGTATGCTCCCACGGAATGCCCCGGCCTTGGCTTCCTGCTGTCCTCCCCTCTCCCAGATGGATGCTGTTCGGGAAATTATTGACTACGTGAGGTCCCTCCGGGGGGTCATCCTCTCAGGGGTTTCGCCTCTCCTTTCCGAGGTGCCGAATGATCTGGAGATCACCCTGGAGGCCAATCCAACGGTGCGTCCGTCATTGACAGGTGCCCCCCTCCCCCCTTCACACACACGACCATCCAATTCTCACCCTCCTTCCCCTCTGCCTTCCCCGGGAGGTGTCGACCGTAGGATCATCATCTTTTTGCGGGTTTCCATCATGCAGGCGTCAATCGCCTAAGCCTCGGCATTCAGTCACTGGACGCCGGGCACCTGGCAGCCATCGGTCGCTCACACACGACGTCGGTGCGTCTTGGTCTCAAGGCTGTCGGCGATTTCTCTCTCTGCCCCTGACACTCACACAAGCACATACTCTCTCTCTCTCTCTCTCTCCGAATGATCGGTACGTAGGATGCAATGGAAGCCATCGCCGAGGCCAAGAAGATCGCCTTCTCTCGGGGCGTGACCTATGATCTTATGTTTGGGCTCCCCGGACAGGGCGTTGATCAGTGGCACGAGGAACTAAGTGTGCGCATCCGCTCCACAACATGTCCTCCCCCCCCCCCCCCCCATGCCGCTGTCTCTCACCCCGTTGTTCCTAGGGCTTCTTGTCTTTGGTGGAGCCAGACCACCTGTCCCTCTACCAATTGACTGTGGAGCCGCACACGCCCCTCCAAAAGGTGCTCACATCCCCCGACCGGCTGTCCGGTCTGGCCTCGGCCTGGGCCCTGCCACTGCGCCGGCTCCCGCCGATGCCCACCGAGGAGGCCATCGAGAAGATGCACGAGTTGACCGACGGCCTGTGTGAAGCCCACGGCCTGCATCGATACCAAGTATCCAACTGGGCGCGAGCCCTCAGCCCGGACCAGCTGGCCACCGGTTTCGAAAGCCAGCACAACTCCGCCTACTGGAATGGGACAGACTATGTCGGTGCGTATTGTGACTGGATTGCCTCCTTCGCGCTGGCTGGGCCTCGTTTTCAGGCCTGGACTTCCCCTCTGACAGTGGCACCGACACCAGGCGTCGGCCCAGGCGCACACGGTCGCTTCACACGCTTGACGGACGGGATGCGCGTGCGCACGCGCTCGATCCCTGAGCCCAAACGCTGGCTTAGCGGTGCGTCCTGCCTCGAATCACTCTCCTTCGCTCCTCCTCGTACCCCCCCCCCCTCCCCCGCCCCTCCCATCCTCTTCCGGTATCGCACTGACAAGTGTCCATCCCCATCGGCCTGCTCAGCTGTCCAATCTGGGGCCAGGTACGAGCATGTGGTCTTCTCATCTGCCAGGACACTCTTGCCGATTGCTGACTGACCCCTTTCCCAGCCCGGAGGTTTGCACGGTTCTCTCGGCGCAGGAGGCGCGTGATGAGCTGGTGTGTCTGGGGTCCCAACAGCGCCAGGGTCTTGTGAGAGAGCGCATTGGCCGGGCTCTGTCAGCTCCGGCGGCACCGGCCTGGAAGGATGTCATCGATATGACCGCAGTCCCGGACCTGGTGGCCGGTGGGTTTGTGGAGTTCACAAAGCCCGTGCGCCAATCTAGCCGGCCGACGGGGGAGATTGTGGTTGAAGACCCGGACATGGCGGCCGCCATGCGTGTCACTCGCCGGGGTCTCCTTGTTGCCGATACTCTCATGGGCAAGCTGGTGAAGATTGACTGATTGACATGCTGTGTCTGCTGCGAATAGATGCAATGCCGTCACTTTGGTCGATGGGCATGTTTGTCTTCATGTGTTCGTTTATTGGCATGTGCACATGGATGTATGCATTTGGCCGTTGAGGCAGCACATGCATACACCAATACATGCGTGTATGTGCTTCTTGCTATTTCATGGGCATCGGCAAGGTACAAGCGGAGGGAGGGGGGATTAGCGGTAGCGATCCTCCTGGCGACGATCGCGCTGGCGGTCATCTCGCACCAGCCTGTCGACATTTGGATGTCAGCAACAGCCTGTTGAGGTTGGACAGAAAAAACGGAGGCGAGAGAGAGAGAGAGAGAGAGAGCGCGAGGATGAAGAGTGGAGGCCGGGAGGGGAGGGCGGAAGAAAAGGGAGCAGACAACGAACCGAGGGTCATCACCCTCCAGGCCGATGCCGGCCATCGGGGTCTTTGCCGGGATGATATACTGGTTGTCGCAGTGGGGGCAGAACTCATCGGCCTCCTCGTACTCGCTGGGGAAAGGACAGGGATGTGCGCATGACAAGCATGTGTGAGACTCAAGCCACCTCGGCACAGGGCGCGGCTGGCGGTGGACGAAGGGAGGGACAGGGGGAAGACCAAGCTTGGCGCACCTGAGATCCTTGCGGAAGACCTTCCGGCACTTCTTGCAGGCGAAAACCATCTCGGTGGACCGGTGGAGCTCGTGGTTGGAGACGGCGGCATGGCACTCGGCGCAGTCGAACCACTTCTTCTTGCAGCACGGGGCGCGAATGGAAACCTGGGCGTTGAGAATATGGACGCACATGGCGGGGCGGGGCGGGCGGGCGGGCGGGGGGGGTAGGGGGAGGAGGGAGATCTGGGCGGCGAGAAGGGCACGCGGGGAGGAGGGAGGACACTGGTGGGGTGTGCGGAACAGGGCGCGCGGCCACGGCCCGGACCGGAGAGGTACCCACTGAAGAAGCAGGCGCGATGCGCCGAATGGTCGCGTAGGTACGTTGGGATTCGGTTCCCGTGATAGAGTCAGCCTCTTGGCGGGCAAAATGTGCGCCGCTCCGTGGGGCAGCGTGGCCGTCTCGCCACCGGGCTGGTTGGCGGGGCTCTCTGCCCAGCTGGTTCTCGCTCACTCTCGGCGCCAGGGCAGCAGCCGGGCCTGGGGCTCGAATGCCAATGCGCGCGGGTGCTACACCCGCCTGCAAGACGTCCCTAGCGCATTGGCCGGGCTCTGTCAGCTCCGGCGGC